AAATAGGAGGGTCGACGACGAGACGCCGACGACGGACGACGACGTCGAGGGAAGAGGAAACGACGACCAAGGCGACAACGACGACGGAAACGACGACGACGCCAAGACGACGACGACGAGGAAAGACAGAGAACGACGACGCCGACGACGACGACGGAGGAGGGAGGACGGCGACGACGACGACGACGCAAAAGCGCGCGCGCACGCTTTTGCTGAACATCCGTATTGCGGAACCTTTTGTTTTTGTAGGTTCTTTTGGACACGATTTTGAAATCCTCCCGAAATCGAGGGTTTTTGAAGGATTTCGGCATACGCGCGCGACGACGCGCGCGTCTGCGCTTCGTCCCATTTTTTGCAGAGGATTCTCGCGACGGCACACGCGCAAGGGCGTTCGACAGATTTCGACATGCGCGCGCGCGAAGCCCGTTTGGTAGCATGTTGTGAAAATCTTGAAACAACAATGGTTTTCTTAAGGTTTCGTAAGAGCTCGCGCGGAAACTTTTTTAGCAAATCGGTGTTGCGAAACCCGAGTGGCGATCCAGTCCAGACGAAGAGGTCCAATCCAGAATCCGAATCCAGAATCCAGAATCCAGAATTCCGGATTCCGGATTCCGGATTCTGGATTCCGGATTGGACCTTTGAGTCAAGAATCCGGAATTCCAGGTTCCGGAATCCGGATTCCGGATTCCGCCTTGGAATCCAGAATTCCGGATTCTGGATTCCGGATTCCGGATTCCGGATTCCGGATTCCGGAATGGACCTCTGAGTCCCGAATCCAGAATTCCGGGTTCCGGATTCTGGATTCCGGATTGGGCCTTGGAATTCAGAATGCAGAATTCCGGGTTCCGGATTCCGGATTCCGGATTGGACCTCTGAGTCCATAATCCAGAACCCAGAATTCCGGATTCTGGATTCCGGATTCTGGATTGGACTTCGGAATCTAGAATCCAGAATTCCGGATTCCGGATTCCGGATTGGGCCTCGGACGTCAGAATCTAGACCCAGCCCATCAATTCTCTTAAAATTTAGAGGTGCAACTATTTTTTTTTAGTGGAGGACTAATTTATTTAGCTGTGTGTGAGAGATATCAACACACACCTAAAACAATTAGTGGTATGCGCAGGGATTCCCATGTTTAGTTCCATCCACAGGTTTACGAAGGATACGAGCGGAGGTAAGTCAGGCTGCTCTCGTTCGTGTAAAATTTATGGGTGGCGCGCCACCATATTTGCTCGCGCGCTGCGCCCGACAAGCCTTCGAACATGTATTTGGCTGTAGGTTGCGCAGCCATGGCTGCATGCATTTTTTTGTGCACTTGACTCTCGCACTTTGCTGTTCTGTGGGCTCAATCTCACTTGCGTTTGCCCGTTGTTCGCCTTGCGTCCTCGGGTTTTGCATTTCTGTGTTTGTCGTCGGTTTCGCGCGTGCACGTGGCGCTCGCGGCACCAATACTTGTTCGCATCTTTTTTTGCACTTTTAGACTACGATGCTAGGTTCGATCGAACCGTTTTGGTTCACGCGGGACGAAATTCTGTTATTATTGTTCCTCGATGTTCCTCCCGTCTCCTCTCCTGTCTTGTTCGTTGAATTCCCGACATTTCGCGTGCCCTCGCCAGTTCGCCCAGCAACGATGCCCGAATTAGCTACCCTGATCACGGTAACCAGGACATGTGCATAAGCGAGCTGTTGTGGTAGATGTTTTTCCTCCTCCTCCTCCTCCTCCTCTTCCTTTTCTTCCCTCCTCCTCCCCCTCCTCCTCCGCCTCCTCCTCCTCCTCCTCCTCACTCTCCTCCTCCCCCTCCTCCTCTCCCCCCCTCCCTCCTGCATCATCCCCCCCTCGTCGTCTTCCTTGTCCTTCTCCTCCTCCTTCTACTTCTCGCCTCCTCCTTCCTCGTCCTCCTCCCCCATCCTCCTCTCGTGGCCCTTCCTCCGATCCTCCTCCTCGTCCTCGTCCTTCTCCTCCTCCTCCTCCTCCTCCTCCTCCTCCTCCTCCTCAGTAGGAGTTCCAACGGAGCAGGGGTCCTCTTAGTAGCAGCGGGGGGTAGCGGAGGCAGGCGGGAAGCCAGAATATGTGAGAAGAGACGGGCAGGATAACCATACAGCAGCATGAGCATGATCAATGTTTTTCTCTGCAGCCGCAAGTGAGTACCACAGTGCCAACATGCTATATTCTGTACTTCTCAATAGCAGACCCGTGAATAAACCTACTGTTCTGAGAGCAATTCGAAACGCTTTCGACACATGTTCCAATCATATCCTCGTCTTCGTAATTCCAAGTCTCACGAGGATTGCCGTGGACAATGTAGTCCTCTTCAGCTAGGTGAATAAATATATGATGTTTGGGGTATGGCTTAAAAGCAATGAAGGATTTCGGCCGGCCTGGGTGTCTGGACAGTTCCATGTATAGGGTCACGTGCTGCCTTGCCAAACGCCCCAAACGAACGGCCATGAACTCGCCATCCACTGGTTCCTCACGCGACCTCGGAAGTTCTCTGTACCAGCGAACCATGGAATCCAAACATTGGAAAACTAACATCTGATATGGCGTCTCAGCTGGAAATATGTATTCCAGCACATAGTGAAGAACGTGCGCCATGAGCCGAGAATCCGATGCTTTGAGTTTGAGCTTGACCCCCTTTTCGCCTTTAGCTTGGATCATCCCCCAAGTCAGTTTGTTCAAGGGTGGTTTGCTGTATTTTAAACTCTTGCTCGCCATTTTCACGAAACCTGTGATGTCAGCCAACGTTTCATCTGGGCGAGTTCTCAGGCCGCCCATTCGACGAAAGAGCTCCATAACGATATTTCCGTTCAGGTATTGTGTAATCCCGAGGTCGCCCACATGCATGACGTCACAAACAATGTATGGTAAAATGAAGCCTGGTATAGTCCAGAACACTGACATGTACTTCCCTTGTTCAAAGATCTCTCGCATGTGCTGTCCATGATCTTTGCATGTCGATCTCCATTTAGCATGCTCGGTCGCATCGGTGAAAGGGCAGGCGGCACTTTGGGCGGCACCACATCTGAAGCACATCTGTTTGGAAGGACCTTCGCCGCGCCAGCCCCTGAGGCCGATGACCTTTTTGAGCCAGTCCCAATCACATCTGCCTTGAATGACTCCACCTCTACGCGACAGCACGGCCCCCTGTGCAGCCAAGGCCGCTCGCTTGCTGTCACCACGAAATGCAGATTGAGAGAACGGGGTGCCATCATGTCGCTTGGCAGGATATCTACCAGTGAGCCACACCCGAAAAGACCAAGACAGAACTCGCCAGCTGCTGTCGTACGTGCATATGCCTTTGCAGCCACAGTTGCAATACAGAAAACCAGGAACAACGCAAACCCAATATCGTTTTTTTTTTCTTCTCAGCTTTTGTACTTATGCAGTTCCAAAGCACCATCAATAATTTGTCATTGCTCGTGAAGGGCGCCTCGTCGCCCCAAAGGCCGACCGCGACTATGTTTTGATGATCTGCAGCCCCAACGCGATCGGTCCATTCTCGTCTTGTTTTGTATCCAGAGGCCATGTCAGGGAAGTCGGTCCAGCTCGCTGGATCGTCGCTGGCGAAGGCTTCGAACATCTCGTAGGGAAGCAAGAAAAATCCTTGTCTTGAATTTTGCACTGGCGGTCGTAGTCCCACAGGTCAACGTATGCCTCGTAGACATCAGGATGCTGCGAGCCGCGCCGATATCGATTGATCACCGTGCGATGTGAATTACCAGCGTGGGAGGATACTGATCGGCCAGACATCTCCCTGATCTCTTCCACATCTTTCGCTGAGAGCTGTCCACTCTTGAACCGTTTTACAGCGAAGTCTTCGATCTGGTCAGCGAGAGTGCCCGCATCGCCTGGAGCACAACGCCTGCGGGGCGCATCAATGCCAAGGGATTGGCGTATGCCTTGGTATGGGGGCATCAAGATGGCACAAAGGCTGAGTACCATAAACATATCCCTTGCGAATTTCTTTGGGCCAAAATGGGCTAGCAACACCGAGGAGGAGGAGGAGGAGGGGGGAGCAGCAGCAGCCGCAGCAGCAGGAGCGAGGTGAGAGCAATAGGGCCCACAGTAGCCATTGAGATATTGCAGTGTTCGCTAGCTCGCATGGGATCGGATATTGGGGGAAGGGCCTGGCTCAATAGTTTTCCGATTTGGAACGTGCATTGCATTGATGTGTTGGTCCTCTCGGAGTGGCTGCCATTCTCCCCCCTCCCTCTCTGCGCGCCGCTGCGACCTGCGCATGGAATTTACGGGGTGCGCACGGGGCCTTCGGAGGGGCCCCCTCCTCCTCTTACTCCTCCTCATCTTGCTTCTCTTGGTGCTTTCAAACTTGCTTCGGCAAAAATAGAGAACAAACATGTTACATCTCCTTCTCAACCTCTTCTTCCTCCTCCTCCTCCTCCTACTCCTCCTCCTCCTCCTCCTCATCATCATCATCATTCCTCCTCCTCATCCTCCTCCACCCTCCATCCTTCTCCCTCTCATCATCCACTCGGGTCCTCTCGTCGTCCTAATTGCCCTCGCCCTACTCGCTCTCTCTCTAGCTCTATCCACCCCCCCTTCTGACTGGGGCTCTGCTTTGATTGGGCCTGGAAGGCCGGCCTTTAAGGGCTTTGAGGGTTCTCTTTGAGGGGCTTGGAGGGGCCTCCCAGGAGTGCACGACAGTGGCGACAGTTGCGCAGATCGCTCTTGAGGACCTTGAGGGGTCTGCCTCGAGGGGCCTCGGGGAGCCTTGAGCGACCAAGATGACCTTGATGCTCATCTCTTGCTGTCGACCTTGAATGGCCAGGAGCGGCCCCGAGAGAGGCATGTGCTGGGTTCGCATGACCCGTAGTTTTCTGGCAAACTCACCACAGCGGACACCCGTGCCGTTCGGCCACGCTGCGTTGGATGATGTAGCCCAAAACGTAACAGGGTCGCCTATCACTCGAACTGAGATGAACAGTGATACAGCAAGCAAGTGTCGGGAAGCCCTCGGGATCTGATGTTCGCGCTGATCTAGTTACTTCTTGGGCTTGGCGAAGTCGGCGAGGACGGACTTCTTGTAGTGCTTGTATGCGGTATCGACGGCTGACATCCTCGTCTCGAGCTCTGCTTTCTTCGTGTTGGCCGCCTCGACGCTGACCTTGCCCATGTTGATCACGTCTGCCCACATGGTGAAGATCTCCTCTGCGCTGTCCTTCTGCGCCTTGGTCTGGGCCTGGAGGTACCTCAAGGGGCCGTCGCCCCACTGCGTCTTCGCAGCGAGGCGGTCCTCGACGGCCCGCACCTCTGACAATTCCTTGGTCATCTTGTCGTACTGGATCTTGGCTTTCTTGGCCTGGTCGCGGAGCAATTCGTTCGCTTCTGCGACGAGCTTCTCATCCTCGATGGCCTTCTTCTGCTCAGGGGTTAGGGGTTCTTCCTCCTTGGCATCAGCTGGTGACGGCACTGGCTTCTGGCCACTGCCGCTGCTGCCCGTGGTCTTGCGCTTCTTCGAGGAGACCTGCGGGACTGTGAACGGGTAGTTGTTCTCCATCATCGTTTTCAGGTCCTCCACTTGGTGGGCCTCGAGCTTGGACTCCGTGGTTACCGCGACCGACTCCTTCTTCTCCTTCTCCCAGGAGTCCTGGTCGTTGATAGGGCAGTAGTACTGCTTCACTCCTTGCTCGGCCAAGAGAGGGCTCTCGTGCATGCGCTCAGGAAACTCCTTGCCCTCGCACCTCAGCTTGGCATGCTCGACGTTGTTGCAACCCTTGGGCCCTCCGAACTCATCGATCGTCATCCAGGCCTTAGCCCCCGACTCCCTGGAGATGCTGCTGCGGCTGGTGCTGTTGCGCACGAGGGAGCCTCCCGTCGCAGGATCCACAAGAAACGCCGCGAGCCACTCGCGACGGTCTTCATCATCTTTCAATTTTGAATATTCCACATGCTTCTCGGCGTAACACGTCGTCAACGTCGCGTTGAGGGCCGAGAAGGCCCGCATGCGAAGGCTCCGCTCCACGCCCGCGACGCCCTCTGTCGTGATGGCGCCGCCCTCCGAGAGGAGCTGGCGCTTCAGATCCTCGCATGCGCTGGGGAGCTGCTCAGGCCTGCGCTTTGGAGGCATTGCAGAACGAAACCCTAGGTTGGATTGCAGAACGTGTGTGAAGAACCCAAATGGCTACGGAGTGGGGAGGTCTCGGCGGGGGACAGCACTGAACGAAGGCAGATCATTTTAAGGCCCAGAGGGGCCGTCATCCTTTTAAGGTCGGTGTTGTTGGGGTGGTTGACATAATTCTTGACGCTTCGCGTATCCCCCCCAGCCCATCCAGAACCGATCAGCAGGGGAATTGCTGAATCAGGGGCGGCAGGACGCATGCAGTGGCGCAGCCGTCTTCGAGAAAACAAGGATCACAAACAGCTCCCCGCATGGAAGTTTAAGATGAAGATCAGTGCGAGCTGCGATGGTGTTTCGATGAGGGGTGAGGGGTGTTTCGATGACTCGTACTGGTTGTTGCATTGACTTGTATCTTAAGCTCGTGTGCGTTCCGAAACTTGGAGGCATCTTGGGGCTCTCTTGGGATTCTCTTGGGCCCCTCTTGTGGCCTCCTGGGGCTCTTTCTTGGGGCTCTCTTGAGGTCATCTTAGGGCCTTCTTGGGGCTTTTTGGGGCTCTTTTGGGGCGTCTTGGGGCCCTCTTGGGGCTCTTTTGGGTGGTCGGGGGGCCTTCTTGGGGCTCTTTTGGGATGCCTGACGGGCCTCTTGGGGCGCCGTCCTGGACCCTTTCGATAAAAAAGGGGCGCCCTCAATTCGGACCCCCCCCCATCGGAGGCTCAAAAGTGCCGTCCTGGGGCCCTCTTAGGCCGTTCTTGGAGCGCTCTCGGGCGCTCGTGAGGCCGTCTTGTAACCCTCTTGGACCCCCCTTGGGGCTATCTTGGACCGTCTTGGGGCCATCTTTAGGCCTCGAGAGCCCATCGGGGGCAAAAAAGCGAGAAGGCAAACAAACAGTGTTTTTCCTTAAGTTTTGAAGGATGTTGGCCTCTTGGGGGGGTCCTCGGAGGCCTCGGACAGCACTTGAAGAAACCGTCTTGGGGCCGTCTTGAGGCCTTTTGGACGTGCGTCGGAGGCTATCTTGACCCATCTACCGCTAGCTTGGGCCATCTTGGAGGCCATCTTGCGCTCTCTGAGGCCCTCTTGGAACCATCTTGGGCCATCTTGGGCCATCTTGGACGCTGCTATGGGTCGGCCTCCCCCCCGTCCAAACGCATGGAGGGGGGGGGGGGGCAAACCTCCCAAGCAGGGGAAGGAAGGAGGTTGAACGCCCTAGACCACCTGCGCCCAGAGGGCTGGTGGGATTTTCTCTCGGGCCCGCCCCATGTGAATCTTGCTCTCCCCCGAAGCGCCAGTCAACGGCCACAGACAAGTCTATTTGAATATCTCTTTGTCGTGTGAACATGCTCCTTCTCGTCCTACTTCTCGTCCTCCTCCTGCTCCTCCCCTCCTCCTCTCCTTCCTCCTCCTCCTCCTCCTCCTCCTCCTCCTCCTCCTCGTCATCATTCTTATCCTGACCCTCGTCCTCATCATGCTCTTCAGGCGGTTTGATGTCATTGCTTCCGAGAGGTCGCACCCCTCGCGCGATCGCTACTGGCACGGACAGGCTGCCTCGGGGCGAGCAGGCCAGGATCCAGAGACCAGGCTGCCTGCGTCGCCGGCGAACGCCGGCGGAGGCCCTATCTCCGGCGCATCTCTGGCATGGGGGGGCGGCTCCAAAAGTGGCGACAGTTTCACAGATCGCAGCCCCCCAGGGATGGCGAGGTCAAATTTGAGTCTGCGGTGGGTACCCACTGTGCTGGCCCCCCCCGCAGGCCTCGAAAGTGGCGACAGTTTCACAAATCGCAGCCCCCCAGGGACGGCGAGGTCCCATTTGAGTTTGCGGTGGGTGCCCACTGTGCTGGTCCCCCCAGCAGGCCTCGAAAGTGGCGACAGTTTCACAGATCGCAGCACCCCAGGGATGGCGAGGTCCCATTTGAGTCTGCGGTGGGCACCCACTGTGCTGGGCCCCCCAGCAGGCCTCGAAAGTGGCGACAGTTTCACAGATCGCAGCCCCCCCAAGGGATGGCGAGGTCCCATTTGAGTTTGCGGTGGGTACCCACTGTGCTGGTCCCCCAGCAGGCCTCGAAAGTGGCGACAGTTTCACAGATCGCAGCCCCCCAGGGATGGCGAGGTCAAATTTGAATCTGCGGTGGGTACCCACTGTGCTGGGCCCCCCAGCAGGCCTCGAAAGTGGCGACAGTTTCACAGATCGCAGCCCCCAGGGATGGCGAGGTCCCATTTGAGTCCGCGGTGGGTACCCACTGTGCTGAGGCCCCCAGCAGGCCTTGAAAGTGGCGACAGTTTCACAGATCGCAGCCCCCCCAAGGGATGGCGAGGTCCCATTTGAGTCTGCGGTGGGTAGCGACAGTTTCACCAATCGCAGCCCCCCAAGGATGGCGAGGTCACATTTGAGTCTGCGGTGGGTACCCACTGTGCTGGGCCCCACAGCAGGCCTCGAAAGTGGCGACAGTTTCACAGATCGCAGCACCCCCAGGGATGGCGAGGTCCCATTTGAGTCTGCGGTGGGTACCCACTGTGCTGGGCCCCCAGCAGGCTTCGAAAGTGGCGACAGTTTCACAGATCGCAGCACCCCAGGGATGGCGAAGTCCGATTTGAGTCTGCGGTGGGTACCCACTGTGCTGGGCCCCCCAGCAGGCCTCGAAAGTGGCGACAGTGTCACAGATCGCAGCCCCCCAGAGATGGCGAGGTCCCATGTGAGTCTGCGGTGGGTACCCACTGTGCTGGGCCCCCCCGCAGGCCTCGAAAGCGGCGACAGTTTCACAGATCGCAGCCCCCCAGGGATGGCGACGAGCGAAGTAAAAGGCAAGGGGGAAGAGAGGGACGGGAAGGAAGGAAGGAGACGCGCGAGCAGTGCTCTATTCAAAACGAGAGCCCAACGCAGGAGGGTTGGGGAAATTGCTTATTTCCTTCGTACAACGTATAGTTTTCACAAATTTGCCTCGTGGGCTTTCCGACGCTCCAAGGCGGCCCAGGAGGCCCCGAAGACCGGCCCAAGACGGCCCAAGAGGCCCCCAAGACGGCCCCACGACGGCCCAAGATGGCCCCAAGACGGCCCAAGAGGTCCCCAAGACGGCCCAAGAAGGCTCCAAGACGGCACCAAGAGGGGCCCAAGAGGGCAACCAAAAATTCAAAAATCTAGTTTTCCGCCCCCACGAGCCCCAGGGGGCCCCAAGAGTGCCCCAAGAGGCCGCCAGAGGCCCCCAAGAGTCCGCCAAGACGCTCCAAGGAGCCCCCAAGAGGCCCCCAGGAGGCCTCCAAAAGACCCCCAGACGTTTCCGTATTGCGAGCCGTCAAACCAACTGCAATGCACTCCGCGCATGCAGCCTTATTCTTCCTCGCGACGTGCTCACAATCTTGCTCGGCGCTAACGTGCTGCTGCCACGCGAACTGTTTCGTTCGCGCTGCGAACGTCAACAGCCTCTTCACCCGTTTCGACTCATCTGCCACATCTTTCGCGGTGATGCTTCGCTGATCACAACTTCCGCACGCTACTCTTGCTCGTTTCGTTTTCCGGTGGTCCTCCACTTGGTTGCGGGTCGGGTCGAAAGGCCGACCTCCCAGAAGGACACCCCGCATCCGGGCGCACAGCACGCAAGGCGCTCGCAAAACACGCCCCAGACCACCGGCATCACGCAAACATTTGGACCCCCTACGTATTTGCTCCTGTTTCGCCACACCCTCCAACTGCCCGAGACTTCTAACTACGCCACGGGCGAGAGAGCAGCTCTCCTCCCCCGGCGGGCGCCCGAGGGCAACGACGACGACGACGACGACGACCACGACGACGACGACGACGACGACGACGACGACGACGACGACTACGACTACGACTACGACGACTACCACTACTACTACCACTACTACCACTACTACTACCACTACTACTACTACTACTACTACTACTACTACTACTACTACAATTAACTACTACTACTACTACTACTAGTACGAGTACTAGTACTACGAATACGACTACTACTACTACTACTACTACTACTACTAGTTACTACTACTACTACCACTACTACTACTACTACGACGACTACTACTACTACTACTAGTACTAGTACTAGTACTAGTACTAGTACTAGTACTAGTACTACTACTGCTACCACTACTACTACTACTACTACTACTACTACTACTACTAACTGCTACTACTACTACTACTACTACCACGCGGCTACTACTACTACTACTACTACTACTACTTCTACTACTACTACTACTACTATTACTACTACTACGACTATTACTGATACTACTTCAACTACGACTACTTATACTACCACTACTAGGCCTACTACTACTGCTGCTACTACCACTACTATTACTACTACTTCTTCTACTACTACTACTACTACTACGCCGACGACTACTGCTATTATTACGACTACTACTACTACGACTACTACTACTACTACTACTACTACGACTACGACTACTACATCTACTACTACTACTACTACTACTACTACTACTACTACGACTACTACTAGTACTACTACAACTACTACTACTGCACCTACAAGTACTACTACTACTACTACCACTACTACTACTACTACTACTACTACTACTACTACTAAAACTACGACTACGACTACGACTACGACTACTACTGCTACTACTACGACTGCTACTACGACTACCACTACTGCTACGAAGACTACTGTTACTACGACTATTACTACTACTACTACAATTATTACTACTACGACTACTAATACTACTACTACTACTACTACTACTACTACTACTACTACTACGACTACTACTACTACTACTATACTACTAACTACTATACTACTACTTACGACTACAACTACGACTACGACTACGACATACTATACTACTGCTACTACTACTACTACCACGACTACGACTACGCTACGAGACTACTGTTACTGACACTAATATTTCTAACACGACTTCTATCTACTACTACTACTATACTACGACTACTCCTACTCCTACTACTACGACTAACTAACTAACTAAACTACTACTAACT